AAACGTCAGGACGAAACCTGGCCAATGGACCGTGTAGCAGTGGCCTCTGGCGAATTGCCTCCAAACTGCAGGGTCACATTTACCTGTGACTGACGTAACTATGACGTAACTGTAGAGTGCAGTTGCACACATCTCGTTGCACACTGGCCTTTGTGACGAACCTTTGTACAAATACTAAATTAAGTCACTCACAGCAACATTTCCTGTTATGTTTCGCCGTCCCATGTTTTTAGCCGTTGTTTGGTTATCGCTGTGGTTAGAATTGAAGTTATGATTAGGGTTAGAGTTGGAAATAGGCGCTCTCTTGACTGCGAAGCGCTTTGACGTCGGGGAAACGTATTGACACTATCCGACAAATGTACCGTGTAGCAGTGGCCTTTGGCGATTTGTTTCAGAACTGCAGGGTCACATTACCCGTGGCTGACGTAACTAGCCGTATAAACTGTAGTACCGCAGTTGAACACTGGCCTTTGTGATGAACCTTTGTACAAAATACTAATTTAAGTTACTCAAGGCAACAGTTCCTGTTATGCTTCACCGTCCCATGTTTTTAGCCGTTGTTTTGGTTATCTCTATGGTTAGAATTGAAGTTACAATTAGGGTTAGAGTTGGAAATATGCGTCCCATTCACTGCAAAGCGCCCTGACGTCGGTGAAACGTATTGACACTCACGGCAGATGTATACCGTGTAGCAGCGACCTCTGGCGATTTGTGAAGTGCAACAACTCGTCTGAATCCATCATCTGCCAAAGCATCCAAGTATAAATGTATTCTAAATGTATTTTTACGTACTAAAATCGCCAGCTTTGGTGACCTTAAATGTACAAGAAATATAATAAAAAAGTGAAAACAATACTTTGTGACAATAAAGAGAACATTCATGCTTTGCTGAGTTTTTTTATAGCAACGTTACTTTTTTGTTGCTTAGATGCTATCTTTCACTGCAATAACCTTTGACCCAGCACATGTCAACAAGCTGAAGAGGGAGTTTTAAAAATATTTGGAGGTAATTTCGGCCACATATTTGTTATTCTCCACATTATCGTGACATGTCAGTGCTCTGATAAGTATTTTACACTCGTTGTTAGAGCTGAATCAAACCTTGACCGTTTAGTTTGTGTCGCAGCTTGAGATTTTGAGGTTGATATTGGCGGTGGGAGGGGGGCGGTCCTACCGTAGTACCCGCATGGTTTGAAAACTCAGGTCCACGTAAAGGTATTAGATTATGGCATACACACCCTTCAAGAGAGGAGAGGAGAGAGTGAAAGATAAACACAGAGAGATAAAAAGGTTAGAAACAGCTGAAGGAGCGATCTATGGAAAAAAAGGAGCCTAACCGTAACCCATTTCCAGCCCCCCTCCCCAGGAAAAAATAAAAAGACTTGAGAAAAAGGGGGGGAAACGTAGCTCTGAAAACACAGCTCGGATGCGAAGTGTACACATGCTACCATGTGTCTTCCAAAACCTACCATGGCCGACAAGTACAGTGTATGATAACGCTGTTGAAGTATACCATAAGGGATTCTGACTCTGTATAGTACAGTACCTGGTCAGAAAGTAATGAACATTTGACTACACATGACGAGTATGTACAAGTCAGTAGATGCCCCTTTCTGACCCTAATATACATAACGTTATATAGTCAGAATCCCTAGAAGTTATACTTCAACAGCGTCAATAGGTAAAAACCAGCAGAAGATTTCCCCGCCCTAATTTGTTTGTTTGTTTGTTTAGCAGTTTTACCACCACCATGTCAGAGAGTTCAGATGAGGAGTGTCCAGACCTGGTGCCCAGTCTGTGTAATGATGTTACACTTACAGAAGAACCAGTGACAGATCCCCCCACCCTGCCAGAGGCACCGACAGTAACCACCAAAATCCCTGTAACAATCATCACTGGATACCTCGGTATGTGCATCATGGGGCAAGTGGTTTGAAATCTACTGCTAAGTAACAACATAGATTTGCCTAGTTGTCTGTGTTCTAAGTAAAACAGCATGTTGGCAGAACATACTGCACTTGCGTGAAACCCGTTATGTATTGTGCATAGCACTTCGGCAGAACGTCTCATGTATGGTCATATTCACGCATATAAGGTTAACATTCTGTCTGTAGTTTCCTAATGTTATGTGTGAAAAAAATGTCATCTGCAACAGGCAAAATTCTGATGCAACGTTGACCAGAAATGGAACAAAATTCGTGAAAAATGGAGGTTTCGGGTAGGCACAATATTTTTTGCTGACGTGCTGTCTAAAACCTACTTTTAAATGCTGCTTTTAGAATTGCTACTACTGGTACTGTTAATGTTGCCCCTTTTTAAGAAAAGTTTTAAGACTAATCTAGGGGAAATTGTATGTTTATCATTATAGATAACAAAAGCTGCATATGAGCGATCCCTGTTTTTGTTTACATCATGTACATTCACATTTTTTAAAGACATAAACAAATTGCTGGTAGGCACATCAACTACATCATCCGCTTTTTGCGTATAGCACTCGCTGACAGTGACGTCATGCGATCATTTGTACATAATCTTTTTCTCTACGTTTGCCAACTCAAAGTAACAGACTGATCAGCACATTGGTACCATACCATAATTGCTGGAGACATATCATAAATCTTGAGTGAAAATTTTCTATCCTCATAATCCAGAGTTGGAAGAAAAAGTTCTATAAGTATCGTAATGTTCCAAAAATAATCCGTATCATTTACAGTCAGTCCTTTTCATTCTGAAAGTAGAGGCTGTGAAAGATAACATGTTTGTAAGTCTAAAATTAGCATCATTTATTAAGCGATTTTGGTCTTTATGAGATCCTAGCTTCACTAATCCACCAAAGAATGGAAACAATCTTGTTGATGTCAGAACCACTCCATACATCTTTTGTTAAAAGGATTACACTGCCATAATTTTCAAGTTGGACAGCAACAAAATGTGCGAAGACAAAGAAAAAGTTTCTTTTCTAAATATCATAATTCCATAAACTCGCTTCTTATACCACAGTAAGTTTATAAGTATGAGTACTTATGATTCCTGTCCTGCTGTTTTCCTATTGTCTGCTTGTAGCTTACAAGTTCCTGTGGTGCTACAGATATGCCAACATTGTCACTAAACCTTCTCACGTGCAGGTAACTCTACTGGACCATGGAAGAACACAGCTCAGTCATATGTCATAGTTAACGTCAAACAATAACACAGTCATTTCCACCCTGGCGTCTGAAACACTGGTGTCCCCTTCCCTCCTGTGCCGATGAAGATTTATCGAGGATTATCAAAGCATGTTCCTCTTAGATAAAACTGACACGACAGCACCATCAATCAGGTACAAATCTCCCTTTGTGTTTGTCGACTTTTGCTCGGGAAATATTGTTCCCGCTGAATCAATATTTTCATAACAATGGGGGCCGTTGTCGTGTGGCGATGCGTGCTCGCCACTAACGTACCGTAGAACGTTGCATCTCGTTACTTTGACAAAGCCCGGCGGTAAAACCCGCGCCCGTTGTTTTAGCGGCGGTGACCCGAGCGTCAGACTTCTGGCACCGGGAAGTGACCTGGGACAGAAATGATTTGTTGTCACCCTGACCGCCATTGTTATATTGTCGTGTCCCCTATATCAAACATCCTATCCTGTACAGAAAAACATTTAACATGTTAGATAATGTTAAGTTAACAATGTTGGGATGATGATCATTACTGGTACACTTAAATTGGGTGCAGTTCCCATTCATGAAAATTCTGGACACTTATGGCTTCTACTTTTAGTAGGCTTGACAAGAGTGCAGGACATTTTGTAACATCATTTTCCATGTGTTCAATGGCACAATGTAGTATTACATTATACATGTTGGGAGCCAACTTGTCTCTGGATGTACAGGATAGATTTATGATGTCTTTCCTTTTCTATGTGTATTTCAGTCTTTCTACACTTTACACAAATTGGTTGAAGATTGGAGATCTAGACTCAAAGACAGAGACTGAGAGAGATTACAAGTGTATTAAGTAAGATCCTTAACCTCAAGTTGACACAGTTTGACAGAATTGTTGCATCACATTATTGATATATACTTCTACCCTAGATTGGTGTTGCTCCCATGGCTACCTGTTAGTTAACTGAATGTTTCATACAAAATCTGGTTGCACCAACAGGATAGCACTATAATACCTTTCTTACCTTATTCCAATCAAATTTGTTTGAACAACTTGAGTTGCTTTGTAGTCAGTTATATTTTGGTCTTTTATTAAAGTCTGTTGGTATTTCTCACAAGTTACATTGTACACAATTGTGATACCGGGTAACTTTTAAATCACCTAACTATATATTGTTGGGCTTGAGGGGTCACATACAAAGCAGGATCTTGAACAACACAAAGTGACACTGTAGGAAATAACAACGGTGTGTCAGCAGTTAGCGTAATGCAGTCCCCCCAAATCGTACACCCCCTTTCATTCCACGTTACCTAATGATGTGTCCATTCACCATAAGGCTACCTCACACGTCATCTCCCATTTACGGTGCGCCCTTGACAAAGCACGGTGTCAACCAAGGTCGCGTAGTTCAGCCGCGGGCGACCTTTCGGCCACGGTGGGTGCTGGATGTTTGCTTGACTGGTGGCCGCTATTGTCAGAGCTAATGCGAGCTGTCGGATCTAATCATAACTGGGATTTATTACCATGACTAACATTGTCACAAGGCACAATGGGCGCGACTTTACATAACTAACACATCGATCAGTCTGGCTGGGAAAGACTTTCTCTCTCTCTCAAAACAAGGCATCGACTCTGCATAATCAGGGTTTGAAATGCTGGAAATTGGTAGCATCGTGTGGCGAAACGGTTGGGTGGTCCTGGGTTCGAATCCTCCAATATGCCCCAATGTTTTGCCCTTGGGAAAGGCACTTGACACGACTTTCCTCACTTGACTCAGGTGAAAATAAGTTACCTAGCTCCGGTTAGGGACGTCCCTTGGATATAGGACGTTAAATGGAGGTCCCATCTTTGGGGAGAGCCACACTCCAGGCATTAAAGAACCCACCACACCTTTTGAAAAAGAGTAGTGGGGCCCCGGTGTACGAAATGTTGGTCTAAATACTACTATATCTGGTGATTCACTGCAGATTCCAGGAAGAATATTGTGAAATTTACACTAATGGAGATCATGATAAATTTTCTTGTCCAAGTGAGTTGGTGACCTCGACCTCTTCACCTTTTACGATGGTTCATGACAGCCATTAGTGGAAGGGCACACAGCAAAGCCTAAGGTTCTCATGTCCATCTGGACTATCTAAACATGACCATCGCAATTCTGTTCATTTAAAAAAATCCATGTTCATTCCCCTGTAGATGGTGATTGAATCCCTCAGCCATATAGGTGAAAGATACACTGCAAAAAGAAGGGTTCCCATGTCCCTACAACTTGACCATCTGAAATTCCGGCAGTTCCAAAACCTAATCAATATCTTCTGCCCCCCCCCCCTCAGTTGGGTCACGTGATGCCACTCATCATCATTGGTCAGCTGCATTTCCTACTGTTATTAATATTGTGAGATCTGTTTCACCGAGAGATGGTTATTATAATCTCTCAGATGTTGATGTTGGATGTAGTGTAGATTATAGGTCATACATGTACAAATGTACGCTGGTAGCCTCGTCTGCCGTAAGATGGGTCGTACAGAGCGTAGTTTGACAGGTTCATCCTTGGGCATACGGAATATGCCGATAGTTCACTGGTAATCCCAGTAATGCCACAACCATAGGTAGAAGGGCAAGCTGTTCCTTATAGAGAACTCGAAGGGTTCATACATGTACGTCCATCTTGACCACGCATGACCATCTCATATGTCACGAGTCCAGTCATGGTCACTCCTTTGTAAGGGTGGTTCACATAGATGGCAATGAATACAATTCTGCAACCATACATGTAGGTAAGACATGCGCATACACATGCACGCACGCACACACGTGCACACACATACATGCAGTGCATATACACACACACATACACACATGCACACATGCACACACTCACTCATCACGTACATGCACATACACACATCATGGACAGACACACGTACACACACACTCATCACATACATGCACATACACAATGGGACACACACACACACACACACACACCTGTAACAGATAGGTAGATGTAGATTATTAATAACATTGTATGTGATACTTGTAATCATGGGCAGAGTGGGATTCACACGCTGACGCTGACCATTTGAAATCTTACCCTTTCCAAGAGTCAAACATTATGTTGCCCCCTCATGAGTTCCATTTGTTCATGTCAATGACTGCTGTACATACCGATGATATAATCCTCCCCCCATAGGTAGAAGGTTACCCCGCCCCCCCGGTGTGCCCAGCGCTCACATGTCCGTACATCGCTGCCCTCCCGCGCAGACATGTCCCTCCCACCCCCGCACAGCGGGCTGCCTGCGTGCAAAGGGTAATCCCCAGCTGACATGTGTACTTTGTCTCCACGGCAACCCACGCCCCCCTCCCGTCTCCCTCCGCAGGGGGTCCGCTGGTGTTGCGTCTTCCTCTATAAATGTTTCCTCTGGAACGACCAAACTATTTGAAACATTTGCCGCCAAAGTCACTCTAAGGTGACGGCACAAAGTACGACTGTTTCGAATTGTCCGTAGAAGGTAGGACGATCCAGGTAAGGTTGTCCGCGACGTTTTTTTTACAGGTACGGACGAAATGTAGCGACAACTGGACAGAGAACGAGCAATGTGACACAGATTCCTGCACTATGCCACGTTTGTACAGTTGTCATTTTCTAAAATAACCTGCCGCCGCTGGGCCCGCATACCCCGGCCACCCCCACGGCCAAGAATATGTACATAAGGACAAGTGGCTGGACAGGTTATAAAGTCCGTGACCGTACGGCCGACTATAG